CTCTCTAACTTATAATGTCATGGTCATGCATGCATTAAAGCATGAAAAAACTGTTCCTTTACAGGCATTTCACAATATTACTGCAGTATTCATAGTTGATTCTGTTTAGTGCCGGCTTTAATTTTTTAATATAAATTGCTTCTAGTATTTGTAATCTAGATTTGTTGTAATCTAGATTACAAATACTAGAAGAATACTGAACAGTGTTTGTTTAATGATAAATCAATAGTAATTAGTGTTAATTTTATGATTAAAAATACTGAAAAATAAAGCAATACCAAAAAGTATTAGTTTAATAAAAATACTGGTCATTACCATTGATAATAATTATTCTTTTAAATTAGTTTTGTTATTATTATTTTATTATTAATTTATACTATTTATTTTATTAATAAATATTTTAATCTTTTAAGAGTTATGATGACATTGCTGTTGTTATTCTTTTAATGATCATTATAAAAATTATCATTGTTTTTTGCTTGATAATAAATAAAATAATTATTTATTAACAATCAGATTATTATTTAAAAACCACAGTCATTACTATTGTTCTCATAGTGGGAATGACCTTTATTAAAATTATTATTATTATGGAGATAATTTGCAGGTTCTGTGAATAATGGTAATAGCATAGGCTAATGTCAATAAAGATGAAAAAATTCAAATTAATTTTAGTGCTGTTTCCAGGAATTAATTCTTCTTAAAGATATTAATGAACTGACACTTGACAAAATTCCATCTATAATTTATGAAGAAAAGTTTATAAATGAAGCATGTCATTATCTGTTAATTGACAAATTTAAAATGTTCTATTGTGGGATCAAGAATATAAAAGAAAGAAAGAAAGAAAGAAAGAAAGAAAGAAAGAAAGAAAGAAAGAAAGAAGTGGGAGTCTGGTGTAAATGTAGAAAAAGGTAAAGAATTTTGTAAAAAGGTAAAGAATTGTGTTAGAGAAATGAATACAATGAAAAAAAACAAAAAAAAACGAAGAAGTAAAACTAAATAAATAAAGAAAAAGAAACAAGGATACAGAGGAAGGAACAAAAAATTAAGAAAAAAGAAAGAAAGAAAGAAGGAAAGAAAGAAAAAAGAAATGGGGAAAGGGACTAAAATTTAAGAATGAAAGAACAAAAGTTAGGAAGGAAAGAGAGAAAGAAAGAAAGAAAGTGAGTGAAATGAGTAAAAAGGAAAAAAGAAAGAAAAAACAAAAGAAGTAAAAAAAAGAAAGGTAGAAAGAAAATATCAAGGAAAGAAGAAAAAAGAAAGAAAGAAAAAGAAATGAAGAAAATGAGTAAAAATTAAGAAAGAAAGAAAAATTTAAGGAAAAGAAATGGAGAAAGTGATTAAAAATTAAGAATGAAAGAAAAAAGAAAGCAATATAAAAAGAAAGATGCAGAGAAGGGAACAAAATATTCAGAAGAAAGAAAGAAAGAAAGAAAGAAAGAAACGGAGAAAAGGAGTAAAAATGAAGAAAGAACAAAAAAGAAAGAAATTGACAAAGAGATTAAAAATTAAGAAAAAAGAAAGAAAGAATTATAGAAAGAAAGAAATATAGAAAGAAAGATACTGACGAGGAAACAAAGAAGAAAGAAAGAAAGATGGGAAGTAAAAGGAAAAAGAAATAGAGAAAAAGAGTAAAAATGAAGAAAGAACAAAAATGCTAAAAAAACAAAGAAAGATATGGAGAGAAAGAAAGAAAGAAAGAAAGAAAGAAAGAAAGAAAGAAAGAAAGAAAGAAAGAAAGAAAGAAAGAAAGAGAAATATATAAAGAAAGCAATATAGAAATAAAGATACTGAGGTGGGAACAAAAATTAAAAAGAAAGAAAGAAAAGGAAAGAAGGAAAACAGATGAAAGGTTAGAAAGATAGAAAGAATGAAAAAAGAAAACATGGTGGAATGGAGTAAAAATGAAGAAAGAAAGAACAAAAATGGAAAGAAAGGAAGAAATGGAGAAAGATTAAAAATTAAGAAAATGAAAGCAAGAAAGTAATGCTATTGATTTTTTTTATTATTTTGAAATAATTTCCTGTAACCAAGATTTTCTATTTTTGTTTGATAAACAAATGATTTTGCTTTCCTCTGGATTTGATTTTATATGTAGGACCCCAAAAAAGAAAAATTCAAGAAAAGAAAAATTCTTTTTCCAAAGATTTAAAATTAAAAATTAAAACAATTATCTCTAACATAGTGTGAATAATATTTGACAAAAAATAAAAATTACTTGGAAAAAAAAAAAAAATCAAGTGCAATTTTTTCCAGTTGAAATTGATAATCAATCGTGTCAAATGAACATTCATAATTATGAAGTGAAATTAAATTAAGATAAAATAAAATAATTGAAATAGAAATAATACGAAAGGAAAAAAAAAGATAAAAATAAAAACAAGTGACACTTCTGATATCAAATGATATTTATTAAACAAACAAGTTCAAAATTCGGTAATTAATTGGAATAAAGCTGTAAAATCAAAGAAAAAGATGGAATAATTAGAAAAGAAAACAATTTTTTTACCTTCTTCATTTTATTTCCTTGATTAATGACAGTCTAAATATAGAAATGAGAAAACTATCCTTCCTCTGTACATATGAGGGGATGCAGAAAAGTCCTTAGTCTAACCAAGAAAGCCTGATTTTTGATCAGGTTTTGGGAAGAGGGTCAGGGTAAGATTGTACATGTTTTTCTTTTTATGTATTGTGTCCCTTCAGGACATAGGCAATCATTCCCCCTATCCCTTGTAGCTCTCAATAAGTTTTGACCCTTTGCTACTTCCCCCAGGCCATGTTCTGTCATCCATTTGCTTAAGTAGGTATGTCATGCACTACTTTGCTTCTATTTGACCTGTGAGTATCAGATTCTCCAAGCCCTCCTTTCTCATTGTGTGTCCCAAAACTTTCATCTGCTTCTTCCTGATGTTAAATATAACTTTCCTCCTCGTTGGCATCCTCTCCAAAGCCTCATTGTTGCTCACATGCTCGGTCCATGATATCCTTAGCATCCTTCTGTAGAACCACATATCCATTGCCTTGAGTTTCTTCTTCATCTTTGATGAGACTGTCCAACATTTGCTACCATCTAGGAGGACAGATGTCACATAGCAGCTCAGTACTCTTTTCTTTGTTACCAAAGAAATCCTCCTGTCTTGTAATACTCTGCCTATAGATTTTGGAATGTATTTTTGACCATCCCAATATGTTTGGTCTATAATATCCTTAGCATCCTTCTGTAGTATTATACCTCCATTGTGTCGAGTCTCTTCTTTGTCTTTGAGGAGACTGTCCAACATTTTCTACCATCTAGGAGGACAGATGCCACGTAACAGCTCAGTACTCTTTTCTTTGTTACCAACAAAATCCTCCTGTCTTGTAATACTCTGCCTATAGATTTTGGAATGCATCTTTGACCATTCCATGTAGATGCCTGTATATATGCTAATAGGATATGGAATCTAAACAAAATTGGAGTAATGCAACAAAATGGAATTGTTTCACCTTCATGTGTTAGGCTGGTGTCTTCAGGTCAGAATGAAAGACAAAACTATATGTTTTTATTTGTATTAAAGACATTAACACCAGCTTGCTCGGTTGGCATCATCTGGTCAGAATTGAAAGAACCAAACTGTTTTTTGTTTTATATTTGTATATAAATCCATAAATGCCTTAATTGAAATTTAAATTCACCCATTCCAAGAGGAATGCTGTTATTAGCTCGTATACCACACATTGTGCTACTATAGCTATTACTAATGCACTGATCTCACAATTCCCAACAATACACCTAAGACCAGGCTCATACATAATATCAATGATCATTATAAAAGCATTGTCATTAAAAAACTTTTCCACTTTCTCTCAACATGCTTGTATCTATATACATATATACATCTTTGTCTGATTTGATGGATTTATTCATAGACATATATACATGCATGTAAGTGGATATATATACATATACATAATCCATCCTACACAAGTTTCATTGAATATAACAGTCTTACATATCTATAAGTCTACCATTCATCCATGTTTAGAATATTGCTGCCATATATGGTTCAGTGCTCCTGGTATTTATCTAGAGATTCTTGATAAAATCCAAAGAATCAGCAATATTATTGGTCTTGATCTGGCATCTTGGCTTCAGTCACTTTCCCACTGCTGTAAAGTTTCCTTCCTTTGACTATTCTATAAATACTTTCATGGTACTTGTTTGGATGAGTGCTTTGCTATGGTACCTGGACTTTTTTAATTTAAGCACTGTACTAGTCTGGTACTAAGGTTTCACCAATTGATAGTTGAAGTGGTTAGATGTTACTGTAACTTCTATGCTGATAGATTTTTTTCTTTTTTTTGCACTTATCACTTGTAGAACTCTCTTTCAGCTACATACTTTCCAGACAACTTTAATCTTCAAAATTTTAAATGCAATGTCAATCGCTTTCTGCTGTCCTCTTAATTATTCAGCCTTTGTTCATTATTTACATTATTTGGAGTATTGTCCTCATCTTTGTTGTAAAATTTTTCCAATGTTGTTGACTTTGTATTTTGATTGGGGTAAGGTTGCCAGATTAGAAAATTAGAAATATTAAAAATCCTTCTCTCTCTCTCTCTCTCTCTCTCTCTCTATATATATATATATATATATATATATATATATATATATATATATATATATATATATACACACTACAGTCCAAAAGTTTGAAGCAACCTCCAGAATTAGCATGGGATGAACTTGACTGAAGTATGAAAAGAAATGACAAAAAGGTGTTAGTCATCGAAAAAAAAATGGAATTAATTATCAAACTTATATTTTCAAAAACTTTTTCAACGAATACCAAAAATTTGTGCTGCAGTAATCAAGGCTAAAGAAGGATATTTTGATGAAAGCAAAATTTAATCATAAAATGCTTTTTTACTTTTGTCATAACAAAATTTCTAATAAAAAATCATGTCTCACTTTTTTTTTTGACCATGTAAAATAATTTTCTCTTATTTGAAGTACAAAACAACTACTTTTGGGGCTAATTTAAAAAATTACCAGGGCTGGCCTCAAAGTTTTGAATGCTAGTATATTTATATATGTGTGTCTTTATGTAAAAAATATCTCTTTTATAGCAGGTATTATCTGGTTAAAGTGAGAGACAAACCCATGTGAGGAAAATGAATGGGGAATAGGCTAAAAAAGTCTTTATCAGGTGCCATGGCAAAAAGATTGGTGCTTCTAGCACTGAGGCCAATGACATTTGCCCTTTTCAAATATCTACTGATCAGTATCAAACAAACCTTTATTGTTTTGTCTTATATCAAACATACCAAAAATATTTATGTCATTCTCTTTTTGAATCTTCATAAATATATATATATATATATATATATATATATATATATATATATATGTACACAAGCATGTTCGGTTTAATAATCTGGATATATTATGTCTATTTTTATTTTAATCCTTTCAAATTCTCTGATTGACTTCTTAATGTCAATATTAAATTTTTAAGGAAGGCACCATAGTTTTTCATTCCTTTTTCTTTTCCCCAAGTACATTCAATTTCATCCAAGATCATTTTCAGGTATGAATTGCTTGAATGAAGGGCTGCCTAAATATATATATATATATATATATATATATATATATATATATATATATATATATATATAGATAGATATATATATATATATATATATATATATAAATGTGAACATTGAAATCAACACTTATAGGTGACAGGCAGTTTCATGCTAGACCCAATCTTCAGGTCGTGAATTGCATGAAGCAGCCTGTTGCCTCTGAGTGTTAACTTCATTGTTCACTTTTATATTTATATTTACATATGCTCTATCTCTGATATTGAGCACTTTATCCCATAAATATAGCACAGCTTAAAACTATATTTCTTCATATATATATAAAGACTTGTTTGACAATATTCAATAATATTATGACATTAGGTATGCCTTCTTCAGCCTATGTTTAAAAATTGTATACAAGTATAAAAAGTCTACAAAAAATTATAAGTATTTGTAAAAACATCTCTTGTCTTGAGAAAAATAGCTGTACTTCAAAATGAATGAAACAACACTAGTATGATTTGCATGGAACTGAAAAATACATAATATAATGGTGATTGTGTGTATCTTGAAATTTTCCATTAGTTGATTAGTTACTAAGCGTTACAATCATTTATTATCATTATCATTATCATTATTATTATTATTATTATTATTATTATATCATCATCATCTGGTTTTTCATATCATTCAGATGTTACTTTTGTTATCTTGTCTAATAATTAAAATTATTTTGTTTTTTCTTTATTTGGCTTTTTTTTTCACACAATGAGTTAAGAGTGTTACTTCTTTGAAAGTTTTGAGAAAGTCATATTCACAATATGAAAGAAGATAATAAATCACCCTCTGAAAAAAACAGAGATGGTTACATTTTTTTTCTTTTTTTTTTTCTTTTGTTTGCTTCATAGAATTAGAATTCTGCATTTTGGAAGTCTGTAAAGTGTATTTTGGTATATGCTGATTTTTTGATTCAAACCAAGTATCCCCCTTTATGAGTGGGTTTCAAAAATCTTCCTCCTCATCTTTTTTATTTCTCTATCTTCCGGATTCACTTTTGGGGAGTTTATCTGTCGATCCATTTCCTGATCAGGAAGAAACAAATTGGACTTTTCTGCTTGCCCCCCATCAAAATGCTAGTGAGTCATGATAAGCCAAAGTCTGGCTTCCTTGCTGAAAAATTCATTTAAAAGATATGATGCAAAAAATATGTAAAAAGGAACTGAAAATAAGAGATAGTCTGTACATTACTTTCTTGAAACCCTGCAATATTTCAGACTATTGCATTGCACTAGTCAAATTATTTAAGGGTAAGGAACTTTGACTGAAATATTGGAATTTGTCTGGTATGGAAAATACTTACATAAAAATATAAATATATATTATTTGTGGACCTGTGGCCAAGGTATTAGAACTTAAGCATTCCAACTATAAAGCATAGGTTCAAATCTTACCATGGTCAATTTGTCAAGAAGGTGACTGCTTCATAATATCTTCAAGGGAGAGAATTCAGGCCTGTAGCACCATTGTGGAACTCCTGAAAACAAGTTGATTGAAGCCTTGTTTGTGAAATTGTTCAGAAGCTGCTGATGGTTGTACTAATAAACATTGATTAATCAATATAGGGTGCTCCAAATCTATTGCTCTTGTGCCATGCTTACTATTTTAGATTTATTGGTTTATTTTTATTTCTTTCTTGTTTTTGTTTCTTTTAGGTTCCACTTTCAGTTTTGGAAAGAAGAAAGTTTTGCTTGGATTCATAAAACTCTTGACCTGAAATGTGATTTTGTTTTTCTAACTAGTTTTAACTTTTTATTTCGAATTGATGCAATTCTGACTTTTCTTCCCTATCTATTTAATTTTTGAAAAAAGAAGGTAAACATTTGATTACCTGTTCTACATTTCATCAAATTACAATTTGGATGAAAACTCTTCATTATTTAAGGTGTTTTTGTTTTGTTATATAATTATACATTTTTTGATAATTCCATTGCTGTTTAAGAGGGTTTCTTTACATTTTTTTCTTCACTTTTTCTCTCCATTTCTTTTCTGCTGGCTTCTTCCTTTCTTTCTTCATATTTTTTTTATTTTTCTATTTTATTCCCTTCTTTCAATTCTTTTTTCTTTTTTCTTTTACGTGTTCATTTTTATTTTCTTCTTTTATATTTTTTAATTTTATTTAATCCCTTCATTTTTTTCCTGCAATTTTATTTTTATGCTTTTCTTTGTTTCTTTTTTTGTTTTTTTTTTTTACTATTCCTTTATTTATTTTCCATTCTGTTCTCTTCTTCCATGTCTTTTTTCTTTTTTTTTTTTGCAATTTTTCATTTTTACTAATCTTTCTTTTTTGTGTTATCTTTTCATTTCTTTCTTTCTTTCACTTTCACTTATTTATTTTTTCTTTTATTCCTACTTGACTTCATCTTTTTCATTCAGTAATTTTTCAGTTTTTTCCTTTTTTTTATTTTTCATTTCTTTTTTTCTAAAAATTTTGTTTCAATAATTTTTATTTCGATGTCTACTTGCCTCTCTTTGTTTTTACTGTTTTCTTCCTTTATTGTTTTTTTCCTCTCTCTGTTTTTATTTCCATTTTGTTATATTTTTTTCTTATTTTCCTTTCTCTGTATAGGGATAGGAAGTTGTGGAGAATCATGATCGCCCACGTCCTGAAGGGGCATGGCACATAGAAGAAGAGTACCATAAAATACAATTCCAGTTTTGATTTGATAAATTCTCCAAGGAATCTTTTCATATATTGAATTTGTTGGAACCCCCTCACTGCTGGTGCTGGTGCTGCTGGTGCTGCTGCTGCTGCTGTTGCTGTTGCTGCTGGTGCTGCTGCTGGTGCTGCTGCTGCTGCTGTTGCTGCTGCTGTTGCTGCTGCTGCTGGTGCTGCTGGATCTCATACCATATTGTCCCTCCAGCTGTCACAGTCTTGGCAGAGTGTTGTAACATCCTCCCAGCAGCTGTATGGTCTGCCACAAGATCATTTCTGGTCTGCAGGTAGTGAACATGTAGATGTCTGTGATGAGGTTTTCATGAAATCATTGGAGGATGTAACCAAACCAGTGAACATGGCACTCAGTAATTGTGCACTGGATGCTTGGTAAGTTGGTCTTCCTGCAGAGCTTCTACTTGAAAAAAAGATCACACCAGACGATAAATTTTAGTATCTGTCTATATTTCTGAGATGAGGTATTATGTACACTATTTACATTATTCGGACAATCATTCTCATCATTTCGGCCATTGTATACTCCGCCCTTCTTCAGGTGGTTGGATTGTCAAAACAAACCCTTTATTTTGCTCGCAGGGTGATGTGAAGGAATAACTTGCTACCCCCATGAGTGGGGGCACTATAGGTGGTAACCATCTATAAGTATCCATGAGGACAGTGGACAAGAGAGTCGAGCTGTGATTTGCAAGAACTAGCAGCCTTCTGATAGCAGCACACAAACAACTTTACTGATTTGTGATGACCATGTGCATAACTATTGCTTCCTTGCTTGTTGTACTGGTTTCTCCAATAAACCTGTTACTATTTATCCACCGTGTTTGTCCATTCCATATTCCTATTAGCACGGAATATAGCACTAGGGTAAACTGTTCTAGTTCCACGTGCCATGTCTAATGGATGTCAGTTTCAGTTATCTCCTGTTAATTCCCCTTCTCCAAGTTCTCCACCACATTAACCAGGTATTGAACTCACACTTTTTGGGTCCTTTCATCCGTTTAAGGCGGTTATGGTCCTGTCACCTGGTTAAGGTGGTGGAGAACTTGGAGAAGGGGAATTAACAGATAACTGATAATTTACATCCATTAGACATAGCATGTGGAACTAGAACAGTCTACTCCAGGGAGCAAAATAAAAGGTTCAGTTCGACATTCCAACCACCTGAAGAAGGCTGGAGTGTACAACAGCTGAAACGTTGTAATAAATATGCCAACAAAGATGAGGATGATAGTCCGAGCAATGTAAATAGTGTGAATAAATTTTGGTATAGATAGAAATATCATCTGAAGGTTTGGAGAAGGCACTGCTTGTAGAAGGAGCCCCGCCCCTGCATACCAGTTCTATGATAATTTTACTTTTCTTTTCCTATTTAGTAGTTTGTATATTATTGGGTCTGTGGGCACATGGCCAAGTCGTTAGGACATTTGCATTCTGATGATGATACCCAGTTTTGAATCTCACCGTGGTCGATTTGTCAAGAAGGAGACCTCCTGATGTCATTGGATTGAAGGGGTTGATCCCAGTGTGCATGACCTTTGGAAAGTGCCTGAAAACCATACCAAAGTTTGACCCAAGCCTGACCCAAGTGAGTTAAATTGGGTAGATGGAATCCGTCGATAGCTGTGCTAGCATGAAGTCACATGTCATCGTGGCCGAGGGCTTGAGTGTGCTGGCCTTGTTAAAATTTTTGATCACACAAGATAAGGCTCTCTTTCCCAGAAACCATAACTAAGGTCTGCTCAGCATAGTTGCAGTATAAACCACAGGTGTTTTCTGTGGGTGTCGAATAAACACAAATGCACCTGAGTAAGTGTCTGCAATAGGGATTGGCTAGCCAACCTAGTGGATGGGTATCCTCAAATATGAGTGACATTTGTGATTCTGCTATGTATTTAGAGGTACTTGATGAAACACAAAGAAGAATCTGCTATGTTATCAGTCCTGACCTGGCATAAATCACTTTCTCATCACTGTAGCTTTTATATTAAGTTCACTTAATGATTAATTTTGTATAAGTTCATTTTGAGAGAGCCACTCACATTTTTTATCATTTCAATGTGGATAGATAATGATTGACAATAATTTACAAACGATTTTATGCATATCAACCTCAATAAGCCACTTTTTTTTTTTCAATGTTTTGTCAAAAATCTATTTCTTAATATTTTTCCTAAAAATGTATGCAATATTATTTTAAAACATGTATTGCTGGTAATTTTTTTTAAAAAAATATATTGATTTTTTTTCCTCAAAATTTACTGGAAATTTTTTTCAGAAGCCTATTTTTAAACAAGTTCTTTAAATGAGAATTTGTGATAGCTGGGACCCTAAGGTGCTCTTGGCATAGAACTTGCATCTTAAGAGGTGGTTTTATGCAGCCATTGATCAACTGTAAAAGATGATGAGACCTTACCCTAGACATGTAGTTTATTGTCATAATGGGGCTAATATTGTTTATTCAACAAATTTATTTTATGTGTTTGAGAGAAGGTTTCTTGAACAGAGCACTGGTGCTGTAATCTGAACAAGGCCAGCACGCATGTTATTTAAGATACTGTGAGGGCTCCCAAAGGTTCTGTCTTTTTCATTGCTATTTTTTTAGCTTCAAATGCCACATACATTGTTCAGACCAATGAAAAAAAAGGCAACCTTATTCATATATATATTTGTTTTAAATCTTCAGAGGCAACCAGATGTTTATCTTCTTTGTCTGTTGACTTCCTTTTTAATTTATGGGAGGAAGTTTTTGTTCTTTACTAATCTTCATTTTCTTTCATTGCTCCACTTTTGTTTATCTAAAATATCCATACTTATCGCCTTTTTTTCTTTTCAATTCAGTTTTTTGATCCTTTCTTTCTTTCTTTCTTTCCACTCTTAATCTCCAAAACAGTCATTTTCTTTTCTTTTTTATATTTATATATTATTTTTTATATATATATTTTTTCACATTTAGTATCCAAACTTATTTCCATAAATCTTTCTTTATTTTAATATTCCATTCTTTCTTTCCTTTTAAATATCTGTACTTATTTCCTTTAATTTTTAAAAGGGGGTTCATATTCATTGTCTTTCTCTTTTGTTATTTTCAAGTTTGTTCATTTCAGTTCTTTCTCCTTTCTCTCTTAATTAAAATAAGAGGGAAAGGAGGGTGATTTTTCACATGGCATTTTCCTATTCTCTTTAAAATAAAACTTCAAGAAATGTTCTTTCCACAGACTTTCTTTTATATCTGTTTTTTTTTTGTCTTTTAGTCTTTCAGAACCACCCTTTTGCTTTCAGCATTTGATGCTCCTCCTGTTAATTATACTTCAATCATTTTTTTTTTTATCTTTTCAAACGAGGCAGTTTTAATTTTAATGCATTTAAATTTTAAAGTCTTTGGAAAGCAAGAAGCCAGAAACAAGTTCTATAAATGAGAAGTGTGAGAGAAGAAACTTTCTAGAACTTGCATCTCTTCAACTGTAAAATGATGAGACTTTCACTAATCTAATTTTTTGCTTTATTTTTATATACATATTCATTCTTTAATTAGTTTCTTTTTCATTTATTTTGCTTTTTAATTTTCATAAGGCAACCTTATTTCTTTTACTTTGTTTTTTTCTTTTTTTTTATTTCTTTTTTCTTCCTTTTTTTATGCATATCTATAGTTATTTTCTTTTTAATTCCATACTTATTTTCTTTCATTCTTTCTTTTTTTTCTTTATTTTCTCTTAAAATCTCCAAACTCCATTTTCTTTTTTTTAATTTCCATTTTTTTTTTTTACTTTTTTCACATTTAGTATCCAAACTTATTTCCTCTCTTTCTTTCTAATCTTCTTCTTTCTTTCCTTTTAAATATCTGTACTTATTTCCTTTCTTTTTTAAATCTTCATATTCATTGTCTTTCTCTTTTGTTATTTCTTTGTTCATTTCTTTCTTTCTCCTCTCTTAATCTTCACATGCATTTTCATTCTCTTTAATCTTCATATTCTTTCTTTCTTTCTTTTTCTTTTCTTTCTTTCTTTCTTTCTCCTTCTTAATCTTCAATCATTTTCTTTCCTTTTAATCTTCATTTTCTTTGTCTTTTTCTTTTAATCTTTACTAATTTTAATCTTTTTAATATAATTTTTCTTTTTTTTTTTTCTTTCTCTTTTTAATTTTCATTCATTCTTTGTTTCTTTTTTTCTTTTTTACCCTTTTTCTATAGTTATTTTCTTTC